TCCTTGAATTACAAGCACAATTTTGGAGCATCCCACCCAATTAACCTTTATGTCAAATACCTTACTCCATCCGAGTCAGACAATGAGCCACCTGTATTGATTTCAACGGAGACTTAGCCAACATGCCTAGAGCAGACCCACTGAAATCAACAGAACTTCATTTAGGGATACTAATATGTTCCACTGATTTCATTAGGTTTACTGTAATTATAAGTTGGGGTCCAACCTACTGGTTTATATTCTTCCACATTACAATTTTTAACTTCATCCCAATACCTTAAGTAACAATTTCAAGTAACACTCAACAGCTCAATAAATGTGTTGTTGCTCAGACTTTTTTAACCTCCACCATCAAGATCAAGCACTAATAAGTTGTGCCTCTGGAAAATTTCCAAGTTTGAAATTAGCTGAATCTTCTGGTAAAATATGTTCCACAGCTGGGCACCAGCTACTGAGATCCACTTTATCCATCATGTAGCAGCAATATGCTTATCTACCACTATGTAAATTCATCAAAGATGAAAATTCATTAGTCCAAGTCCCCACACATGTATTTGTAAGATCTGCATTCACAAATGCATACTTGTCACATCCATACATCACTTTCTTAAAAACTACATTAAAAAGTGAGATATGTCTTTAATATGTGTGTTGAAGGAGAATGTGAAGCATCTTGACTATGGCACCACTCTATGAGAATTTGCTATTCAGATATAAAACTTGAATAGAAAGGTATATTTAAAAAAAAAAATACTGCTCCTGAAAGTTGTTAGAGATTGTAATAGAACCTAAGAAACCAAGCAGTTTCTACAGTACTGTACAGCCTTGTTACTATCTCATGGGAAGGGAGACAATTTCACACAGACAAGCTGTTCCCCTATTTTCAGCGTTTCAGAGATGTCAGAATGAGCCCAAGCTGAATGGGCAGACATGATTCAAACAGTGGCAGCACAAAGTTCTCCCATTGTCTCTACTGTGGGCCACCAGTGCCCGGCAAAGACTGGATTCAATGGAAGGCCTTATTTCACCAGTAATGCTTCTTATATCAGTAGAAACATAAGTACAAAAAACAGCCCTATATTACATATAAGTACGTCATCTATCTTGCCTCTTGCTACATCCCTGAATGTCACAAGAATACACCAATTCTTGCTATTTCATGGCTGTGGTCAACAATGTGAACGGATTAGGCAAGCTGCAAGACCATCAATTCTGTCATAGCCAATCCCAATGGAAGCAACCTCTGCTCTATGGCAGGAGTGAGCAAAGTCTACTCCTTCAGAAGCTTTTGGACTTCAAATTCCAGCATTCCACTATGCTGGTTGGGGATGAAAGAAGTCACCATCCAATGACACCATGAGGGATAGATTTTACTCAGTCTTACCCTAAGACTTGACTCAACCGCTTACACCATAAGGAAAAATTCCCATATTTGCAACAATATGTGCACATATTGTTTTACCCTGTTGTCTTTGTCTCTAAGTAAGAGTACCCTTAAAGATACTCTTAAACATTTTAAATGTTTTAAATACTTTGAATATTTTTAAATGTTTTGTTTTGATGTATTTTTATGCTTTGATTTTATTGCTTATTTGTATGATTTCTAATTTCTGTTATGTTAAATTGTACTTGGTGGTATTTATATGTTGAAAACCACCCAGAGTGGCCTCGGTCAGATAGACAGTATAAAAATGAAATAAATACATAAATAAAATAAATAAATTTACTGACAGAATTCACAGCCATAGTATGTTGTGAGGGCAAATAATACTGAAGGCTTTTTTTAAGGTAAGACTACAAAGAGAAGCTCAAGAAAGGTGCATGGAAGAGCAGGCCACAAAGGGGGAGGGGGAGGAATGGCAGAGAGATGAAGAAGCAAAAGCTTCTCCCCATTGATGGAGTTCATTCATCACCAAAAGCCCAATCTGTCTCCCATCAAGGTCTTGCCGGACTAACTTGCATCCCATTGGGTGTTTTGTTTGACAGGACCCCCTTTCGATAGGGTAGAAGGGAGGGGTTGTTAAGGAGGGTGTAGGCCAGACTCCAGCGTGCAAGATTCTGCTTTGACTTGGATGCTTTTGATGTTGGCATCGTGGTCTTTGAATGAATGAATGAATGAATGAATGAATGAATGAATAAATAAGTAAATAAATAAATAAATAAATAAATAAGATGCTATGACTGTCTAGTTAAAATATTAAGGCAATGCGTCTCAGTTTTGAGACCTAGAGAGATTTTGGACTCAGCATAGGTTTCTCACTTCTGAAGGTGGAAAGCAACCATCCTCCACATCACACTGTGACAGCACCATCACTTACCTCCCTCAAAAGGGAAAGACAAGGAGAATGAAGACAAAGCAGGCAAGGCACCCTCCTACAGCATGATGGAAATGGAAGGTGATGGCTACCATTCTGCTACAAGAATGGACATGAAGACAGTGGTGCCTCCTCAGGAGCTGAGTCTATTAAACTGGCTGTTCCCCCCCCCACCCCAAGCCTGGCTTTAAGGATCTTCAGATCTAGGTGCACAATGTGAACAATAGCTCAAAGAACACCTAGGCATTTTTACTAGTTGTTCCTCCCACAGGACCTGACACTGAAGATGCTTAGACCTAAGAAAGAGTCACCTATTAACAATAGGCAGCAGTGGCAGCTTTCCCAAGTAGCAGGGATGCTGCTGAAGTGGAAAGGAAGATGCAAATGGGTTATTGTCTGAAGCAACCACCTTCCTGGAGTAGCTTTGTTTGGACCAACTCCCAGAATCCCTGAATTTTCCATTTGGAAATTGAGGTCCAAACTTTCTGCAGGAGCAAAGGTGGAGAACTCCACACCCAGGACACACGGCAACTTTGGACTGTATGCCTCACTTTTCCCTTGCAGGTTCTATCCTTGTAGTTGTGCATAGGAGTCTGTAGGGCTCAGTACATTGGAGTGCAGGCTTTGGATACAGAAGCTGGAAGTTCAAACCTCCACTGTGCCCCCTAGGAGAGGGCCCAGCAAGATCACTCAGGCTGTGTGTGGTCGATGGGGTTACATGCCAGCCTGTCTGCCTATCCTCAAGCAAGCTGGATGGTCCCGGAGTGTGATCAGAAGGAGGAACTGCTAAGCACTTCTTTCTATTTTATATGTAGAAAACTCTGGGAAGGATCATTGTTAAGTCAGAACCAACAGCACTTCGTTAATTATTATAGGAATAGATGGCCAGCTACTTCCATGGATGCATATATGTATGGATATTTATAGAATATACATACATACACAATATTAAATATAAATTGATTCTTCTCTCTGCATGTGTTTATTTGTTGTTGTTTAGTCGTTAAGTCATGTCCGACTCTTCGTGACCCCAGTGTGTATTTATATCCATATCCAAATTAATAAAGGTAGCACTCAAGATCAGTGGTTTCCAAACTTTAGGGTCAGGTGGTTGTGTACTGTTTGTTTATTTGTTTGTTTCATTCCTATGCTGCTTTCCTCCTGGGTAAAAGGACTCAAGGCAGCTGACAAATGATAAAACCAAGTTGGAATAAAAACACAATCAACTTGAAGAAGCCCTGACCCCTGGCTGTGCTGGCTCAGACTTCTGGGAGTTGTAATCTAAGGATATTGGGTGCTCTAACTTTGAGTACCATTGATACTGATATGTACATACAACATACACTTGTATGCCTGTCTATACTTCTAAACAGAAATCCCAACTGTGTGCAAAAAAACCAGACCTTTTTAAAGCCAATGAGGAGGCTGGTATTCTACAATGCAGCTCTTTACGTTTCTGTATTTGTGCCTGGCACTGCGGGCTAAACTGCAGAAGCCTGTGCTGCAGGGTCAGAAGACCAAGCAGTCGTAAGATCGAATCCCCGCAACGGAGTGAGCACCCGTCACTTGTCCCAGCTTCCGCCAACCTAGTGGTTTGAAAGCATGCAAATGCAAGTAGATAAATAGGGACCACCTCGGTGGGAAGGTAACAGCGTTCCGTGTCTAAGTCGCACTAGCCATGTGACCACGGAAGATTGTCTTCAGACAAAAATGCTGGCTCTATGGCTTGGAAATGGGGATGAGCACCGCCCCCTAGAGTCGAACACGACTGGACAAAAATTGTCAAGGGAAACCTTTACCTTTACCTAATGCCATGGCTACCAGGACGTGGTGGCACTGTGGGCTAACCTGCAGAAGCCTGTGCTGCAGGGTCAGAAGACCACCAGTTGTAAGATCGAATCCACGCGACGGAGTGAGCTCCCGTCAGTTTGTCCCAGCTCCTCACCAACCTAGCATTTCGAAAGCATGCAAATGCGAGTAAATAAATAGGTACCACCTCGGTGGGAAGGTAAAATGGTGTTCCCTAGTCATGCTGGCCACGTGGCAACAGAAACTGTCTTTGGACAAGCGCTGGCTCTACGGCTTGAAAACGGGATGAGCACCGCCCCCTAGAGTTGGACACAACTGGACTAAAAATGTCAAGGGGAACCTTCACCTTTACCTTTTAATGCCATGGCTAAAACATGGAGCAATTTATCTGGCAAAAATATAGAGCAATACCACAACTTTAAATCATCAACCAAGGAATTGCTCTCATATTTTAGCTCTATGCTATAGGCCAAAGATACTCCAAACAGTACATGCCTCAGAGACATTATCTTCTGCATAGCACAGCATTTAAAAAATATATGCTTTGAAAGGGTTAAAGTTCCAGGAACTTCCATCATGTCTACTGGGATGAGATTTTAAGAATGGAGCATTACCAAATAAATAAATGAAGAGCGTTCTGGGAAAAATGAGGCCTATCTTATACCAGGTTTCCCAGCATTCCCCATTTGTTAAAGGGTGGAATGCTATTTTTCATTCACCACACACAGCTCTGACAGGTCTGACATAACAAATGCATTTTCCTCCGTCAACTTCCTGCTTTATTCAGTGAATAAGGATTTTTTCTTGTACCCAACTCTGATGACAAGCAGCATATAGCAGATGTACTTCTTTAACAGGTTTATTCTTTTTGCAGGTTTTACAATCATATTTCATCAACCGGTATAATAAAACATACTTGGCTATTTTTAAGGTAGTGAGGGCTTCTGGAGGTTGTCAGATGGTGGCTCTATTCAGTCCTCATATACACGTAATGCTTAAATGTTATTGTTAAATAGAATATTAAGTATTTGGCTTAAGCAGACTCCATTGTACATCCTGATCACTAGCAATTCTTCACACAGCAGCTTATTGTTGCGTCCTTTAAATATTGCAAAATAAGGACAGGATAACAGAAGTGGGTGACTGCCTGACATGGAGAAAGAAAGCAATAAGATTACATTACATGGCCCAGGAAATGTTAGCAGTATGTTCTTTGGCTTTCATTCGTAGAACTGCAATACTGGAAGACCTCCGTTCAAATTCTGGTTTGGTTTCAAATGCATGTCCATTGGTTGTTCCAGAAAGTAAAGAGTCAGTGAAGAAATTATTCAAGGGAACATGGCTGAATTGGCTCTGATGGTTTGAAAAGCCCGAGTATCCAGAATCTGTCCGAGGTGAATGGGAGTAAGGGGTCATACAGGAGGAAGTGTCACGTGGAAGCATGCAGGAAGTCACAACGGAACTGCTGGCTGCGTTTCCGGCCCACAAATTATTCTGAATCTGGAACAAAGAAAACATAGCACATTAAAAACTGTATGGTTTTGGGTTTTTTCTTTTCTTTTTCTTTTTCTAATTACTTTTTATTTTTAGGGTTGTTTTGTTTTTGCATGTTTAACATAACAATATAAACATTCAAAAGAAAAAGAGAGTTTAAAGTGGTTTTGAGTTTTTCTTCAAAGTCCCAGTTTAGTTTTCTGCTTCATCTGCTCTGTTTTGAACCAACAAAAAGACAACTCTGCTATTCATGGGTAATAATAACTATGAATATTATTTCTAGGAAAATGATGCTCAAGGTGAGCAAAAAGAAACAAAAAATGTTCAGAATCAAGATTGGAAAGTGAAAGGGGTGTGCAGTTGTCATTACCTGCATCAGGAGTAGCACAATTTCTCACCTCAAGTCAGTGGAAGTATTGCATGCACGAGCAACTGATTTATATATATGGAATTATCATGGCTTTCAGTTTCACCTCCATTGGCTCAAAAGGGATCTGCACTAAGGATTTGTTTCATGGGTCCATCATCAAGATGACCCTTGCAGCTCCTTTCATCTCCAAATGCAGTCAAAGTAGAAATCACATTATCTCTCATTATGGAGAAAGATGCAGAAGTCCTGGCTTTGTGCATAAGAAACTGCCTTTTGATTTCTACTAGTTTAGTTTATTATTATTACAATCCATGACCAGCAAAAGACATTAAACATAATACAGGTGAGTCGCAACACTAATAAAAGGGGGGGGGAGAGAGAGAGAGAAAAAAGGAAAACTATAACTTTAAATCATTACCCATCAAGTCTTTGCAAATCTTGCATGCAGCTGGGAGGAAGTTTGTGCAAGTAAATGTAACTGGAGGATTAATGCCACAAAGTAGGTTGTGTGAGATCTCAGTTTCAGGACAGCCGACTGTTTCTAGGAGTAGTTGGACAGATACCATCACCAACCCAGCATTCAAAACCAAGGAACACTGATAAAATACCTTGCCCTCTCATTTACCTCAAGCATCTCATAGACAGATATATATGGCTTCTGGTCATGGAGGCACTGTTAACTAGGGATCATGGCTACTAGAGGGAACTAAACCTATTCTCCATCAATTTGCCTGTTTTGTTTTGTTCTTGCGGAGTTTTTGTTGTTGTTTTGGGGGATTTTTTTTCTGTCAAAAACCCATCTAATCAGTACACCTTGGAGTAGTGAGGTCCACAAGTAACTTGTGCGTGGTGTGAAAAAATAACTTCTTCTGTTTGGCCTCAGCCTGCAGCCAGTCAACTTCTATGGATGACCCTGAGTTCTAGAATTATGAGATAGAAATGGCTATCTATTCTCTCCTGTCCTTTTGTCATTTTATAAATCTGTATTATCTTATCAAGTTAATTGTTGTACAATACAGGACATCCACATGTGGTCCTGTGCCTTCTCCAGGACAGTTTTATTGACTGAGACCAAACTGCACATTGCTCAGGAATCATGCAAGGATAGTCTAAGAGTTACTCGTAAGTCCTTTCCTACAGCTCTTTTTTTTAAGCATACAGAACCAGTTGTAATATCAGATATGTGTATCTCTCTGACAGCACGCATAAGATCTGGTCACTTGAGGGGAATGTTCTCTAGTTATTCCCCAGTTAGTTTATTGCTTTTTTTTTCCTGGTCACACGACACAGAGACAAGATCAAGACATTTTCCCGGCCAGTGGTATAACTGCAGAACATTTCCCCATTGCCAGGATGGTTGTGTTATTTTGCACCTTTGTTGTACCAGTGCATTCCTTACCAGGATTGCCTGTGTGCTGACCTGTCCTGCTTCTTTTCAGAATTGAAGCCAGGACACACATAATTTTTAAAAAAATCATCCCTGATACATCAATACATTGGTGAAAGTATCTCACTGGGGGGGGGGGCTCCACCATTACATTACTGGTGAGTAATAGGTCTGTCACCCTAAACCAGAGATGGCAAGAATGTAACCATTTTTAATTACAACTTCCAGAATCCTGTGGCATTCTAGAACCTGCACCCCAAAAAAGATACATGTCCGACTTCTGACTCAACCAGCAGAGTATAGCCTCCTTAGGGTTAGAGGAGAAGTGAGGACAACAAGCTTCAGATCTCCACTTGGCTGTTAATTACATCCAGTGACTTTGGGCCATTTATACACATCATCTCTGTATTTAAACTATGTGACAAGATTGTTGTGAGGCTAAAAATGTGTGAGAGCAGAGATTAAAAGGCAATCTTTGGGTGAGGGGAAGCAAAACGTTGTCCTCCATAGTCACCCAGACCCACCTTGGAGATAACTGGTACAAAACCGCATAAAAACATTAAGGCATTGTCATCTTTCAGCAACTGGGTGCCTTTAGTATATAGCTGAGCAGGAGCAGGGCATTTCATTGCTTGGAAAAAGTCAGCAAAATCTTCCTGCTATTCTCTCTCTCTCCCCCCCCCCCAGTCTTGCGGTGCATAAGCAGCTCTCCCCAATCATGACAGTGAAACAGAGCAATAATAAATTCAATAACTCTTTCTGGCCTTTCAATGTCTATCATCCCCAAACTGGCAGCACTGTAATCTACAGTTTGTGGGATGAGGGAGAACTTGACACTATTTTTCTTTCTCCAATAATGTCTGCCCCACGGCAGGAAGAAAGCGAGTGTAAAGTGCTTTTTTAAAAAAAATAAACTTACATTATTTTATTCTATGTTTTCCTTAAGGAGGATGTTTGTGTTCATCTCTAAGATCTGTCTAACTACTTTATGTACCATCTGTAAAAAAAAACCCTATGTCAGACAATCCGGGGTTTATTTTTTTTAATCGAGGAAAGGAGGGGGGAGTATGATTTAGTACTGAGCCAAATACTCTCCACATTTGATTTTTGCTCTGAATATAGTGGGTTTAGAGGGAAACCTTATCTATATTTTCTTCTTTCATGGCTCTTTGCAAATCTTTCTTGCAATTCTTTCCCTACCAGATATGTGTGGGAAGTGGAACTTACTCCTTAGCTCCACATTAGGTATGTCTGCAGCTGCAACCTTATACTCTGGTTGGACGGAAAGTCATTGCATGCGCATGGAAGCTGAAAAAGGGCCAAGCACCCTCACAAAGTGACAGAGTATCCCTTTGATCTGAGCTTGCACCAAAGAAAGAAACTGAACTCACTCCAACTATGTTGTCTAAAAGCAAAACAACCCAGATCCATTTCAGCTGTGGCAGGACAAATAGTCTATGACCTCAAGCCCTTGTTTACACAGAAAATTTTATTGTTATTTATTTATTTATGAGTTTAAAAAAATCTAAGCCAATTAAAAAAAAAAGCCAAACTCTGTCAATCTTATCTCCCCTTCACAGATGACTGAAGGCACAATGGGGAAAGGATTGTACTCTGGACTATCCAACCGAGATCCACGGTGACTCACTGGTAAAAATGTTGGGCTGGAACTTTGGAGATTTGGGGTCAAGTCCCCTCAACTCATTAAAATCAAATAGGGAGGGGTACACTTGGCCCAGTTGCTCTCTCTCAAACCAACCTACCTCACAGACTTGCAGAAAAAACAGGGAGGAAGAAGCCTTGTCATTTGCCTTCGTCCACAGGGGAAAAAGTGGAATATAAATTATGATCAGCTAATGAATGTACATGTATTCGTTATATGTAATCATTATGTGTAAATCCTACCTTTTCCTCCAGTCAACTCAAGGCAGTATATATAGTTCTCTTCTTCCCCAATTTATGCACTCACCTTTGACTAAACACAGAGATGTCTGCTGTGGGGCAGAATGATTCCATACACCCTTCAAGTACTGCTTGATTTTGATACTGGGATCTGGCCTTGTCTTTTGTAGAAAATATACCAGCTGAACCTATTTGTGCACTTATGCATGGTGAGAATCAAGGGTTGACTCATAGCATTGCACAAGGCCACATTACAAATGATGAAAGTCAAATAAGATGGAAGGCTCACCAGATGTGTGATCAAGACAGGCTGCATGAGCTTCCTGATTTGACTGGGATAACAAGGTGGGGGTGCTATTTTCCCCCAAATTTACATGCTTTGCCCAAGACTGAAGGGGAAGGGAAACACAGTGTTGAATCCACAACTCTCTTTACTAGGAAGAGCTAATAATATTCTTAGATTATAAAGCGAATTGTGGACCAAAAGAGAAGAAAGCCACTTTCTAGGTCAAATTAGAAGTTCCAAGAGGGTGCAGTGAAACAAATGAAAACAGACCAGAAATCATTTTGAGAATTATGTTTTCCAGATTGTATCTAACTTGTTCCTAAGTATATTATCTGAACTGGTTTCTCATCCACTCCTTATTGATAGAACAAAAATAGAGTCTTTTCCTCTTATAAGTACACTGTCTCTAGGTATAGAATCTTGTCTAGTGAGGGCCCAAGTCATGACTAATTTAAGCTACACTGGTTTCTACTCTAAGTATGACTAATGTTAAATCCAGCCATCTGCAAACAATGCACACTCATAATTGACAATTTGTATCATAACAATATTCATTTTCATCAATGCTATCCAAGTCTATTACTTGAACCTCAGTTTCATTCCCCATCGTTGATGCTACTTGGCTCTACTAGCTCAATGTTCTGAGGTGGCTGTGGTTACCTCATGCTGCCAAATGGTAGGACTGGCTCTGCCCATAATTGAAACATCCCTAGACTCATTCTTTCATGTTTGTTATTCATGTCTGTCCATAAATCCCACAGCTAAAATGTTGCCAGTCATAGTGTTTATTTGGTCAACAGTTTTTATGCTAGAGTAGACTGACAAGGAAGGAAGGAAGGAAGGAAGGAAGGAAGGAAGGAAAGAGAAATCTGACAAAACCTTTTTTAAAACTAGCTTTCAGTATTGATTTGAATCATCTGTAGTATTTGAAGATAATTAATGAGGTGGTTTCAAAAATGTCTAAGTATTTCCACTTTCTCTTGGTAATTATTTGGCAGTGATTAATAAGGACAATGCTGGCTGGATAGCTCAGTAGTTTAGGCATCTGACTGCGGAATCAG